GCAGGTGGGCATGGCAAGGCAGCGGACAGGGCACCATGAGGCTGGCCCGGCTGCAAGCTGTGGCAGGCAGGTGGGTGGGGCTGTGACCAAGGTGGGTGAAGCATGCACAGGTGGGCATGGCCATGTGATATCATGCTCTGGGCCTCTAGTCCTATCTAATAAAAGAGTAATATGCAAATTGACTGTCAGTCCAACACACAAGATGGCTGGCCCCATGTGGTCAAAGATGGCTGCCCCCATATGGACATAAGATGACCACCACAAAATGGCCAGCAGGCAAGGGTAGTTCGAAGGGACCAGGCTTATGGGGGAGGACAGTTAGGGACAATCAAGCCTACAGGGGAGGGCAGTTGGGGTGACCAGGCCTGCAGGGGAGGGCAGTTAGGGACAATCAGGCTGGCAGGAGAGCAGTTAGGCATCAATCAGACTGGTAGGGGAGTGGTTAGGGGGTGATCAGGCTGGCAGGAAGGTGAGTAGTTGGTAGCCAGAAGTCCTGGATTGTGAGAGGGATCCCAGATTGGAGAGGGTGCAGGATGGGCTGAGGAACACACATACCCATGCACAAATTTTGTGCACCGGGCCTCTAGAAATTTAATAAGAGTAAAGAGCACACAAGGGATTCTCTGCCCCTGGAATCTGGCACTCTACCACTCAGTGCTGGCATAGTATACTCCAAACTTTTAACAAACACTCCTGTGACTAAGACTGTTCCGGCCCCAGGAAACATATCTCTACACCTTTTGCCCTATGTACATGTATCAGAAGGAAACTGCGAAGTTTTGTGTTGCTGTGCCACTGCCAGTGAATGCTCAGAGCACAGGAAGGGTAGCAGTGGCAAAAGCACTTCAATAAGGAACAGATAATTATATCAATTTGTCAATTTTTTTCTAGTTTGAATGCAATAGGTTCTTACACAATCACTATCATTCCCAATATTTCCAAGTATCCATTTTCCTGCTTTTTTTTTAAGTATATTTTTTTTATTGATTTTAGAGAGAAAGACAAAAGGAGAGAAAGATAGAAATATCAATGATGAGAGAGAATCACTGATTGGCTGCTTCCTGCATGCCCCCTTCTGGGGATTGAGCTCCAACCCAGGCATGTATGTGCCCTTGACCAGAATTGAACTTGGGACCTTTCAGTCTGCAGGCTGATGCTTTATCTACTGAGCCAATTCAGCTAGAGCTAACCAATAAATACATTAAAAAAAAAAAAAAAAAAAAAAAAAAAAAAAGAATGGTGGCAAATCACCAGAAGCATTTTCCTCATAACCCTCAGAGGGCACCAACCATGTCAACTTTTTGATCTTCCACTTCAAGCGTCCAGATCACGAGATAATAAATTTGTTTAAGCCATTGTTGTAATTTATTGTGGATGCCCTAGAAAACTAATATATTAAACAATTCACACTACTCTTAAATTTGTACATATACAGGATAATGTGTAAAGCATGATACTGATTTTTATGATGAAATCATACTTTGTAATATATTCTGCAATAATGACTATAACCCCATTACTCTATTTAAATATGAGATACAAAGGTCTTAGTTCATTTGCTAAAATTCGTAGCATATTTAAGTACCGCTTTAGGATTTTCATTGAGAATTATAACCGCTACTGGCTCAAGAAAGCATAGTTTCTCCAAATTATAATTAGTTTTAAAAAGAAAGAATTACAGTGACTCAAGAAAGTTTGTCTAATATGGCATTGTTGTCCAAAAAATACTCACTACGTAAAAATCTTGTGTAAAACAACATAGGTAGTCATTTTGCTGAAATGAATGCCATAAAAAAAATTTAATGGAACTCATATATAACAATCTATAAATTATATGTAATATCTCTGGCCCATTAACAGAACACCAAGACATGCATAACAATGATTAAAGTCATCTTTTGATAGTTCCTGGCTTTCCGTCAGATAAAAACCATAACTCTGCATGTATTTTTTATTCTGTCATTATGAAGGTATATTTGTCAGCATGGGAGGATAGAACATATTTCATCTACCAGTTTGCCAGAGTGATTTATAACTTTTAAATATTTAGACATGTGGTATGTGGGCCTCCTCTTGTACTCATGCCCCAGGCCTTGTATTGTTCGAGGTGGGCCAGGACGCAGCAATGACAGAAGAAAATAAAGCCTGAAGCTATGAACAGAAGCCAAACTACTAACGTCTCAAACTTGCTCCTACTACAAACTAGAATGCCATTCTTAGAAGCTTCATGTGAACATCTAACACAGTCCCTACAGGGAGTGACCACGACCTCCCATGCTTTGCCTTCCTGAGCCATAGACCTGAGGGACAAGCCCTTCTCAGTTGGCAGTGGTATAGCCAGCCCTGTGGCCTCCTATGGCACTTAGCTCTCACCACATCTCATTCATCTAAATTTCACTCATCCAACGTTAGGGTTATGTCATGGACTTGCATTTGATATTCTTATAGTAACTCTGCTGAGCCACCTTCAAGTAAATAGAGCAAGTTTATAAATGCACTTCACTCCTCTTTTGGAAAAAAGGACTGTGCAGTTTGACAAAAACTTTCAGAGCAATCCTAAATGTTGTGATATTCCCCGTGGCTGTCATTTTGTGATGTCCCATTGCCGTGAGGTCTGGCTGCTTGTTGGGGACTATGAGGACAGGAAAGGGAACTAGCATTTTACTTTGGAGTTAATCTTAGGAAGAGAGAAACTCTTAGAGACAGGGTTAAGTAGTGGCAGCTGAGGGGGAAAAGTGTAGAATACATCATCAATTTCTAAGGAAAAGAGAAAAAAAGGATATAAAAATGCCACTGGCAATGCCCCAATGAAAATGAAGACTGAACTGCCAATCAATTTCCCATATCAAATGCATCTTACTGTAAGCTCTGTCCAAGCAAAAATGGAAGTTATACATTTCATGCTCTCACTGACTGACATGATGGAAAAGTGGACAGCTAGTATAGAACAGTCTGACAACAGAGGAAACTTTTAGCTATGGGCAAGCATCTTTAAGGAACTTCAATACCCTGTCTGTAGACCTCAGTTCACAAAAGTAGTACATAGTGGTCAGCCCCCCTTAACTGCGATTTTGCTTTCTATGGTTTCAGTTACTTATGGTCAACTTCAGTCCAAAAATATTAAATAGAAAATTCCAGAAATTAACAATTCCTAAGTTTTAAATTGCACGCCATTCCTCACCGCTATTCCTGCCCAGGACGTGAATAATCCTTTGTTGAGTGTATCCATGTTGTATATGCTACCTGCCTGGTAGTCACTTTTTAGCTCTCTCAGTAATCAGACCGACTGTCCTGGTATCACAGTGCTGGTAAAGAAGTAACCCTTATTTTACTTCATAATGGCCCCAAAGTGCAAGAATTGTGATGCTGGCAATTTGGAAATGCCAAAGAGAAGCCATAAAGAGGATGCTTGTTTAGGGGAAAAAACAACAACATCATATCCAGGGTTTGGTACTATCTGTGGTTTCAGACATCTGGTGAGGGGGTCTTGGAATGTATCCCCCAGAGATAAGGGGGAGTATCTGTACTATCTTTGAGTAAAATTACAAAACATATGAGATAGACTGGGATCATCAGGAAGGTGGCAGCAAAGTAAAACTTCCCAAAGAAAGAAACTTTCTGATGCAAATACAACAGGCAGAAAGTCAACAGCCCAGTTCTTAGTAACACAGGCAGATTAGTGAAAACCACATTAATCAACCTGGGATACGGATTATCAACCACATTTGAAACACAGATTAACAGGAACAAATAAGGTACCCAGGCGGGAAGCATTTTTACAGCAAGTAACAAACGTTGTAATCTCTGTTTAAATAAGACTTCAAACGGATTCCACATATCAATCATGAGATCATTAAAAAAAAAAAAAAAAAAAAAAGATTAACTTCAAGAAATGAAATGCAGAGTGACGAAACTTCTGACCTATTTTAGATCAATCAAGGTTTTCTACCTGGGCAAGTAGAATGCAATTAGCACTCGGCTGATTTTAAAGATTTCTTTCACAGTTACCTTTAACCAGCAGATGAAATAGCAGAACAGTGTGGCTGATGGCCAATGTTTATTTTTAGCCACTACCTATTTTTATTAAAAATGGGATTGTGGGCCACTGGGCCCCCAGGCACACACAAATATATTAAAATATCCCACATTGTAATTAGTGGCACAGAAGGGATTAGAGCAAATAAAGTGGGTATAGTCTAGGTCAGACATTTTGATGCTCTCGTGGCAGAACCTGTTGAGTTTTATTTCAGAAGTCTGAAAATATAAAAAACATTTTCTTGCAAAGCAAGAGCTTTAGTAAATGAGTCCCCTCCCCTTAAATAAAAATACACATAAAAAATACCCTAAGTTGACACTTTTGGAGTGAAAGAAGAGAATCCCTTGGCAAGAAAAAAAGGTCAAATGCATCAACAATAGTGTCAGTGAAAGAAATTGGATCTTTGGACCTCGTTAACAAGGGACTCAGAATAAATCAAACTTCATGTGACTCTCTACCCAGGCACAGGGCATTCTTCCCCTATGTGAGTAAGAACTTCGGCCTTTGAGTTCTTTAAAGGGAATAAAAAATAAAGGGATCACCTAATTGTCGACCTGTTAAATGCCCAAAGCACATGCTTACAGGATCCTAGAATAGGCCCTTTTACACTAACGGCCAGAGTATGAGTTGTTAAGACAGCACTATATCACTTATTGGCTTCATTTTACAAAACCCATTGTTGTAAATAATGTTAGATTAATTTCCAAATATTAATAGTAAATGTAAGTAGATTTTTGCTTTGATCATTCAGAATCAACACCACCAGGCCCAAGAGTACTGCCAATGCTAGACTCCTGTGAATCTTCATATCAGAGGAAAAGCGAAATGGAATGAGGGCAGGGCCAAACAGAATGAAATCTGGAAACACTGTGTCTTGGCCCAAGCAGTGGATAACACTGCCTTTGCCCTAGAAATCTGTGGAGAAACACTTAGCCCTAAGGAGGGAGGAGATAAAAGTACTTACGAGGATCCCGGACTTGCGGTGGGAGGGGGGCCTGAAGAAATGAAAGAAAAACAAAGGAAGCTGTCAGGCTGGGTTATTGGCCGGTGAGTTTGGGTACAGTCAAACCATTGTAGATTCAAGTTCTCAAACCTCCTGAAGTGGTCTTTATTTTTCTGGGATTTCTTATGTTGCTCCAGTTGTGCTCCTTTCCCCCAACCACCTCTACAAAATAGCATACCAGTGAGAACTTGTCTGTACCTCACAGTTGAGGGCAAATGCTAAGACACATGCTGAAAAATGAGCCCGTGGAGTAGGCGTCCTCGCAGGACGCAGGGGGTTTCCAGTGAGGCTGAGTGCTTGCACCCCGACGCTGATTGCAACCGCAGGGGCCTTTGATGGCCCCTGGACAGAGAAGAGCATGCGTGCTGCAAACCTGTCCAACTTCTCTCTCACGGGCACAGAGGAGGGGCTGTGGGCTCAGCCCGATCTGGGTTCTACTCCTGCTCTGTGGGTTCCTTAGCTGGGCAACTCTGAGCACGGTAGATAACTACTGGGCCTTCATGACTTATTTGTAAAAATGGGTGCAATGGTGCCAGCATTAGGGTTGCTGGGCGCACAGGACATTCTCAGTACGTGCTCCATCACCACCTCTGTTGGCACCCCCCTGGAGGTGTAAGGCCAAAGGCCCTCTTAGGTAGGAGACTGCTTACCAAACTTGACAAACAAGACTCCGGTGGTGGAAACCACCTTCTTGCCATTGGTCGCCACGCACTGGAAGTAGCCCGTGTCGGTGGTGTCCAGGTTTCGGATTCGCAGCCGGGAGCCGTAGTTGGTGGCCCGAAAGGAAATCCTGCGGGGCTCCTGGACCACAGGCGCGTCGTTTTTGAACCAGCGGATGGTGGGAGGCGGGTTCCCAGAGACTTTGCAGTGCAGCTCAGCCGTCTGCCCCAGCGACGTGGTGATGTTATTCATGGGTTCATCCAGGGTCAGGTAAGAATCTGGGAGCACAGGGGAAGGAGGCAGGTGAGAGGCGCTAGCAGGGGGGGAGCACCTCCAAGTACCCCAAATCCACAGCACGGTGCCCCAGCACCGCCGAGACTGAACAGGAACGGTGCGGCGGAGAAAGTATCCCTTTACCGAGACCCCATGACCATTAGCAATCACCCATAAGGCCCGCTGCTTGGAAGGACACTTGTAACCTATAACCCCCAAAGTTTTCAAATGACTATACAGTACCCAAGGAGAAATGTACTTTCCAGGCAGGACAAAACGAGCTTTTGTGTTGAGAGCTTTAAGAAACAAAACAAAACGAAACTCATGATCCTTGTTACAGACTCAAACAATACAGTGAAAAAGAAAAAGGAGTAAAATTCACCTAATATCTCCTCACCCCCCAAAAACATCATTCTTAACAGTGTGGCAAAGATCCTTCCAGCTTGTCCACTTTTGATAAGAAAGAAAGCATGAAAAACTGGAAAAACAGAAGCCACATTATTTATAATAAGTCACTTAATGTTGTGGGTAGGTTCTGCAACTTTAAGGGAAACAATGCGTAACCAAACGAATTTTACCATAGGCTAATTGAGCTAAACAAGAGTTAACTAGCTGTCAGACATCTTCCACCAGTGATGATATAAAGGTTGTGAATGCCGGGCTGCTGGCAGGCAAAGCGACCGAGGAATGAATATTTCCATAATGTCACTTATATCAACTATAACACATTACAATACCTAAATTACTATGCATTTAATTTTTAGTTGAGAAATGTTGACATTCTAGGAAATATACAGATTTTAGTTATACAGTTCTCTGAGTACTGATAAATGCATATACTTATGTAACCAATGTCCCTATCAAAATGTAGAACAGCCCTAGCTCAACAGTTGGTTGAGCATCATCTATTGCACTGAGAGGTCACCGGTTCGATTCCGGGTCAGGACACATGCCTTGTAGGGAGCATGCAGGAAGAAGCCAATCAATGTTTCTTGTTGATGTTTCTACCTCTCTCTCTCTCTCTAAAATCAATAAAGACATATTTGGAAAAGACAGTGAACATCCTCAACATCCCAGAAAGTACTCCCAAGATCCTTTGTATAATAGCTAATCCTTGCTCCCACCCACTCTCCTGCTCCAATTCCAGGCAACCACAGCTCTGATGTCCTATCATCAAAGACTAATTTTGGCTGTTCAAAAATTTCAAATAAATGAAATCATAACATATGTACATTTGCATTGGATTCTTTTGGGTTTTACTACATTAAAAATTTTAATAATAAGTTTTATTTAAGCTTATTCTTTAATAATATAACAATTTAAACATCATACTGATATTAATTGTGGAATCCAATTGCTGAGAAAATAACTTATTTTTTTAAAAATTAAATTAAAATTTTAAAAATTGGTCTGTTTTTCATATATATGGATTTTCCTTTTATTTTGTTTTCCATCCTAGGGTAGGTCCAAACTGTACCTCCCATCATTCTTCTGTCCTTTCTTGACCCCTAAACTGGATGGCTTTTTAAGTGGCTGTCTGCTCTGCAGGACGACATGCCCATATGTGCAGGCATCTAGAATGTTTTGTTCATGACTGCAGGCTCAATCCCCAGTAGGGGGCATGTAGGAGGCAGCCAATCAATATTCTGCTCTCACATCAATGTTTCTCTCTCCCTCTATCTTCCTCTCTCTCTCAAAATCAATAAAAATATTTTGAAAGAGAAAAACCTAGATGACATTGAATATATTGATGACTTTTTAGATATGACATCAAAGACATGAAAGAAATAATTGATATGACACCAAAAACATGAAAGAAATAATTGATAAGCTAAACTTCATTAAAAACATTTGCTCTTAAAAAGGCAAAGCCAAGAGAAAGAAAAGACAAGCCACAGGCTTGGAGAAGATAGTTGTAAAAGACACATCTGATAAAGGAGTATTATCTAAGATATACAAAGAACTTTTAAATGTTTTTCTGACTTATAAAAAAAAAAGCACAAAACACACACACACACACACACAAAAACAGCAAACAAACAAACACACAGACACTTCACAAAAAGAAGTTATTAAAATGGCAAATAAGTCCAGAAAAGATGCTCCACATCATATGTCATCAGGGAAATGCAAATTAAGACAACAATGAGATACCACCAGACACTGATTAGAATGGCCAAAATCCAGAACACTGACAACACTAAATGCTGACCAAAACATGGAGCAACAGAAACTCACTCTTTACTGGTGGGAACACAAAATGGCACAGCCACTGTGAAAGACAATTTGGAAGTTTCTTCCAAAACTGAACATACTCTTACTATTTGATCCAGAAATATTTCTCCTTGGTATTTACCCAAAGGAGTTGACAACTATGTTCACATAAAACCCTACACATAGATCTTTGTAGTTTTATTCACTTAACTGCCAAAACCTGCATGCAACCAAGATGTCCTTCAATAGGTGAAAAAACAATATTGTACATCCAGATAATAGAATATTATTCAGCAACTGAAAGGCAATGAGCTATTAAGCCATGAAAAAACATGAAGGAAACTTAAATGCATATCATTAAATGAAAGAAGCCAATCTGAGAGGCTACATATTGTATAATTTCAACTATATAACATTCTCTTAATGGCAAAATGATGAGGACAGTAGAAAGATCAGTGGTTTCCAGGGGGTGGGGGTAGGGGGTAAGAGGAATGGATAGTTGGAGCCCAGAGGATTTTTTAGGGCAGTGAAAATATTCTGTCTGGTACTATAATAGTAGGCACATATCATTACACACATATCATTCTATACAACACTAAGAGTGAGCAGTAATGGAAACTATGGTATTTGGGTGACGATGATGTGTCAATGTAGGTTCATCAGTTTCAAAAGATGTACCATTCTGGTAGGTGATGTTGATAATGGGGGGAGCTATGCATGTGTGGGGACAGGGAGTATTTAGGAAATCTCTGTATCTTCCTTTCAATTTTGCTCTGAAGCTAAAACTATTAGAAATGTCTATTTAAAAAAATAATCTAACTGCAGCATCCATGTTTCTGGACAGAAATTCTTAAACTTCTTAGTTTCAGGATGCCAATATTTCTTTAAATATTGAATACTTCAAAGAGATAAGTTTAAAATATTTATTTACTAATTTATTGAAAAGTTAAAAGTAAGCTCATTATTTATTAACATAAATATATTTTAATGAAAAATACAATTGTAAGAAGAGTGGAATTGTTTTATATTGTTGTAAATCTATTATTGGGCTTAAAAGCAGACAGTTGGAGTCTCTTCTTTCTGCATTCAGTCTGCCAAGATATGACATTTTGGTTGAAGTATATGAAAGAAATCTGGCCTCTCAAAGTTGGAAAAGGGGAAAGGTCTTTGAATAGCCTTTTTAGATAACTTAAGATATCCTTTTTTGACACTGTGCCAAAATTTGACAAATGGTAGCTTATTAAAGGTTAATTGCAATGTGAAATCTGAAGCCATAGCAAAGAACTTTTCATAATCTGTTACACTTAAGTGAATTGGCTTATCCTGCTCTTTAAAGATCTTTTACCCACCTATGATTTTGGAACACTATGCATTGCCTATTTAGAAAACATTGGCTCAATGAGTTATGTAGATCTTCCAAATATGGACACACGTGATCATGCAATATAGAAAAATTGTATTCAATAGAATCACCAGCAAGCTCTTCAGTAAACATTGGCAAACTGTCAAGCTCATGGTGGTTGGCAATTAACTTCATTTCCTGTTTACTTAATATGACAGGTTCATTTTGTTCATTTTCAAGAATATTCAAGAATAATGTCAATCATTCAAGTAAAAAAATGAGCAGTTCATCTTACAACTCAGATGCTTTTTTGTGTGACAACTATAGTACTTCCACAGTGAGTGGGAGTGCTTATGTACACCTCCCATTTCAACACGGGGAATATTAAAAACATGAACCGAAGGGTCAAGATGTAATTGAGTTAGTAATTTTTACTACTTCATTAAAGACCATCTTAAGTACAGTTGACTTTAAAAAAATGAAGTGCATGATGGTGGAGAATATGACTTCTAGCATAATTTTTTAGCTTGTTACCACTATCTTGATTTGTGCTAAGACACCAGCATTTTTATCTACCACTACTAGCTCTATGCACAAATCTGTGCACCAGTAGCTCTCTGCATGGCCTGGCCCTCCATGCCCGCTGCCCAGAGGCTCTCCACAACGCAAGTATTCTGCATCTCGGCCTGACAGAGGCCCATCTGCAGCTGGGTACGGAATGCTTGACTTGTCACCATGGTGATGAAGCAAGCATTCCACCAGGCTCCTCATGCCCGCTCTCAGTGGCGGCTCCCCTGGGACTAGGGTACTTCAGCGGGGCTGAAAGGACTGAGCGCCGCCATCTTGTGGCTATGGGCGCCGCCATCTTTGGGATGGAGTGATGGTTAATTTCATATTACCCTTTTATTAGATAGGATTGCTTTTGCACAATTGGGATGAATAAACTACGGTTCAGAGGACCTATCCCTGACCTATCTCACGAGGAGAAGGCAAAGCCAGGATTTGGACTTCAAGCTCAGTGCTCTTTCCATCACACTTCACAGCTGCCCTTTTATTGTGTATGTAATAGGTTCAATTCCAAATCCACTTGTTTGTGACTTAAGTAGCGTTGTTTTAATTCAAGTTGTTTATAACAAAGAAAAAAAAGTTGCTTTGATAGAAGAATGAAGTAAGTGGTATCAGTATGTCAGCATCCCACATTGCTTTGATATAAGAATGAAGGAAGTCATGCCAGGATGTCATCATTCTACATCTGTTGTCCTTGATAAGCAGTCAGCAGCAGAGCTGTGGAGGGGCCCCTGGGGGAGCATGGGAAGGACATGTGAAGAAGCAACAAGGGCAAGGGGACATTTAGACTATAAATACTGAGAGCTTGTAAGGGCTACTGGAGAGTTTGGGTTTGGGTGAAACCTAAAAACACTCAGTAGACCCTTGGGAATTTGCTCCTGT